TTTAATAAGTAAAGCATTTTCCAAGAGCACAAAAATAATGAAGCTAAATCCCATAAAAGAGAGGAAAAAATGTTGAATTTTAAGAAATTCGGATTTTTGAATTTTTGATAATTTTCGATAATTTTAGATTTTTTACCAAAGAGTCGAGACAATTTAATAAGTAAAGCATTTTCCAAGAGCACAAAAATAATGAAGCTAAATCCCATAAAAGAGAAAAAAAAATGTTGAATTTTAAGAAATTCGGATTTTTGAATTTTTTCGAATTTTTGATAATTTTAGATTTTTTACCAAAGAGTCGAGACAATTTAATAAGTAAAGCATTTTCCAAGAGCACAAAAATAATGAAGCTAAATCCCATAAAAGAGAGGAAAAAATGTTGAATTTTAAGAAATTCGGATTTTTGAATTTTTGATAATTTTCGATAATTTTAGATTTTTTACCAAAGAGTCGAGACAATTTAATAAGTAAAGCATTTTCCAAGAGCACAAAAATAATGAAGCTAAATCCCATAAAAGAGAAGAAAAAATGTTGAATTTTAAGAAATTCGGATTTTTGAATTTTTTCGAATTTTTGATAATTTTAGATTTTTTACCAAAGAGTCTAGACAATTTAATAAGTAAAGCATTTTCCAAGAGCACAAAAATAATGAAGCTAAATCCCATAAAAAAGAGGAAAAAATGTTGAATTTTAAGAAATTCTGATTTTTGAATTTTTGATAATTTTCGATAATTTTAGATTTTTTACCAAAGAGTCTAGACAATTTAATAAGTAAAGCATTTTCCAAGAGCACAAAAATAATGAAGCTAAATCCCATAAAAAAGAGGAAAAAATGTTGAATTTTAAGAAATTCGGATTTTTGAATTTTTGATAATTTTCGATAATTTTAGATTTTTTACCAAAGAGTCGAGACAATTTAATAAGTAAAGCATTTTCCAAGAGCACAAAAATAATGAAGCTAAATCCCATAAAAGAGAGGAAAAAATGTTGAATTTTAAGAAATTCGGATTTTTGAATTTTTTCGAATTTTTGATAATTTTAGATTTTTTACCAAAGAGTCGAGACAATTTAATAAGTAAAGCATTTTCCAAGAGCACAAAAATAATGAAGCTAAATCCCATAAAAGAGAGGAAAAAATGTTGAATTTTAAGAAATTCGGATTTTTGAATTTTTTCGAATTTTTGATAATTTTAGATTTTTTACCAAAGAGTCGAGACAATTTTATAAGTAAAGCATTTTCCAAGAGCACAAAAATAATGAAGCTAAATCCCATAAAAGAGAGGAAAAAATGTTGAATTTTAAGAAATTCGGATTTTTGAATTTTTGATAATTTTCGATAATTTTAGATTTTTTACCAAAGAGTCGAGACAATTTAATAAGTAAAGCATTTTCCAAGAGCACAAAAATAATGAAGCTAAATCCCATAAAAGAGAGGAAAAAATGTTGAATTTTAAGAAATTCGGATTTTTGAATTTTTGATAATTTTCGATAATTTTAGATTTTTTACCAAAGAGTCGAGACAATTTAATAAGTAAAGCATTTTCCAAGAGCACAAAAATAATGAAGCTAAATCCCATAAAAGAGAAGAAAAAATGTTGAATTTTAAGAAATTCGGATTTTTGAATTTTTTCGAATTTTTGATAATTTTAGATTTTTTACCAAAGAGTCGAGACAATTTAATAAGTAAAGCATTTTCCAAGAGCACAAAAATAATGAAGCTAAATCCCATAAAAGAGAGGAAAAAATGTTGAATTTTAAGAAATTCGGATTTTTGAATTTTTGATAATTTTCGATAATTTTAGATTTTTTACCAAAGAGTCGAGACAATTTAATAAGTAAAGCATTTTCCAAGAGCACAAAAATAATGAAGCTAAATCCCATAAAAGAGAAGAAAAAATGTTGAATTTTAAGAAATTCGGATTTTTGAATTTTTTCGAATTTTTGATAATTTTAGATTTTTTACCAAAGAGTCTAGACAATTTAATAAGTAAAGCATTTTCCAAGAGCACAAAAATAATGAAGCTAAATCCCATAAAAAAGAGGAAAAAATGTTGAATTTTAAGAAATTCGGATTTTTGAATTTTTGATAATTTTCGATAATTTTAGATTTTTTACCAAAGAGTCGAGACAATTTAATAAGTAAAGCATTTTCCAAGAGCACAAAAATAATGAAGCTAAATCCCATAAAAGAGAGGAAAAAATGTTGAATTTTAAGAAATTCGGATTTTTTAATTTTTTCGAATTTTTGATAATTTTAGATTTTTTACCAAAGAGTCTAGACAATTTAATAAGTAAAGCATTTTCCAAGAGCACAAAAATAATAAAGCTAAATCCCATAAAAGAGAGGAAAAAATGTTGAATTTTAAGAAATTCGGATTTTTGAATTTTTGATAATTTTCGATAATTTTAGATTTTTTACCAAAGAGTCGAGACAATTTAATAAGTAAAGCATTTTCCAAGAGCACAAAAATAATGAAGCTAAATCCCATAAAAGAGAAGAAAAAATGTTGAATTTTAAGAAATTCGGATTTTTGAATTTTTTCGAATTTTTGATAATTTTAGATTTTTTACCAAAGAGTCGAGACAATTTAATAAGTAAAGCATTTTCCAAGAGCACAAAAATAATGAAGCTAAATCCCATAAAAGAGAGGAAAAAATGTTGAATTTTAAGAAATTCGGATTTTTGAATTTTTTCGAATTTTTGATAATTTTAGATTTTTTACCAAAGAGTCGAGACAATTTAATAAGTAAAGCATTTTCCAAGAGCACAAAAATAATGAAGCTAAATCCCATAAAAGAGAGGAAAAAATGTTGAATTTTAAGAAATTCGGATTTTTGAATTTTTGATAATTTTCGATAATTTTAGATTTTTTGAACTTTCTGGGAAATGTAATTTCATCAATTAATTTAATTTTCAAATACAAAGTTTGGAATTCCGTTTAACAATTACGGAATTTATCTCTATTCCACTGAATTTTTAATGCAAATTCGAAAATTTCAGGAGAATTTTATGGAAATATTATGGATTTTAACTTGGATTTTCTTAATCTCCAATGCAATTTTTTAAATTCTAGGGAAATGTAATGGAGATATTACAATATTTATTTAAAGTTTAAATGGTAATTTCGTGGAATTTGTACGATTCAATTAACTTTGTTTTCGAATGAAGAGTTGTGAATTCCATGGAAATTTTTTTTTCAAATATGTAATGTCCATAGAAGTTGTTTTGAAATTTCTATGATAATTCCAGTTGACAATTTCCGAGGAATTTGTTTTTCTCCATTCAACGAGTTTATGAATTAATTTTTTGAAATTTTACACAAGATAAAAAAAATTTTCTGACTTAACGTCATTTATCAGGTGTTGGAAAAAAAACATACATGACAAAATATTGAACTCTGATAAATGTGGATGAATGTTGTGATGGATAATAAATGTCGTAACCCTACCACAATTTTTTTTGCTTGTACATAAAAGATTTGAGTTTACCTGGAGAATAACCAGGACATCGATGCAGGTCGATGCAGATCAACAATTGCATGCCGTATATAATGCGCCTGATATTATTCCGTCGAGGGTGTGTGCATTGGGAGCCAAAAAGGAGCAGTAGTGGCACCGGCAGCAGCATCCGTCTGGAGAGTGGGAGTGAGAGAGGGTTGTTTTGCTATCAGACTCGATTTTGAGTCGCGCAAGCGCTGCCCCCGCGAAGCTCCTTTCGAACGCCGCACATCAAACGTAGCGGCTATAGGTTAAATCCTCGGTATTCCGTTTTTCTTGTTTTTCCCGCGTTGCCTCCTGATCCCGCCTTCAAAAGTACTCGCGGACCAATCAGTTGCCTACCGTCGCGACGCTATCCGTCGGGACGTATCTCTCTTTTACTTGTGACATCATCGTGAGTTGCAGTCAACGTTTACGAACAGATCGGCTGTCATCTGCCAATATTTTGCGATTGCTGAATTTTCATTCTTTCATATAGTATTACCTGTTTTTTTTCAACCAGTTTTTCATCATCGTCTCTGGATTTTTTTATAAATATTTCGCAATTTTGTGTACGTTGGTTTGATACTGTTGTATTTTTTCGTTAAACTGTGTTTTGTGATTTTTTTCCGAAATTTATCATTTTTTAATTGGTTTTGTTTATTGTTCATATTTTTGTTTATGATGTTCATTGTCGTAAACTGTGAATTGTGATTTATTGTGAAGTTGTTGATGTTGAAGCTTTTTTCAATTTTGAGAGTTTAAGTGATTCAGTGATGAGTTTTTGACTAATATTTTTTCTAGAGGAAAAAGAATAAAATAACTTTTACTATACTTGTACAATAAATTCTAAACTGTTTTCGCGCATTTCTGAATCTCAATTTTTACTCTCTAAATCTGAATTAGAGAAAGTCGTCCTCTAATTTAAATCAGTAAAAATTCCCACTAATTGTTATAGTAACTTCTTACTGAAACTTTAGTTAAAAATTTAAAACTAGTAAAATCTTAATAGTGAAAATTTTAATACAAGTGAATATTTATTTGATAATAGACAAATATCTTGAAAAAAAATTGAGCGCCAAGACGTTAGAATTAAACTATTAATAAAATTAATTGCAATTAATTATTCACAGTTTTTCTGCGGATATCAAATTAAGACAAAAAACGAATCAAAAGTGTTGCCACTTTTGAATCTTTTTTTGTCTCAATCGCAGAAAATCTCAATTTTATCGCAGAAAAACTGTGATAAAAATGCAAATAAAACAAATAAAATTATCCTGTGAAAGCAAAGAATTTTTAGGCTTTCACTTCGATTGTTGTCATTGAGTTCTTAAACTTTTAAAGTTCACCAATAATTAGATAAAAAAAAGGATTTTTACTTTTTTTGCAAATTTTTAAAATGTAAATTTTTTAATTCGTAAATTTTTAATAATATTAAAATTTTGGCTTTCTTAAATAAACAATTTTTGTTTGTGTAAAAGCTGATAAACTTGGGAGTAATTTGCTTCTGTAATTTGTTTTTTCAGAAAACAAACATTTTTTTTCAAGTAAAAGAAAAATGAATGGAGGAACGACGATGGGGCCGTCGGACGATCCCTGTATTCAGCATCGTCCGTCGCAAAACGAAACAAGTTCAGATCATCCACAAAGTCCTAATAGTCCTTTGAGCATTCGTCATGGTGAGTGCAATTCGAATAATTTTTAACAATTTAAAGTTTTAAACTAATTAAATGTATAATTTTTTCGATAGATAACAATTTTTATTTTTTTTCTATTAGTAAAAAATTCTATTATTTGCTTTAGCTGTTTTATTATAAATACTGCTTCAATAGTTTATTTCGTTTTTCTATAAAAACTAACTAAAAAATAAAAAAAAAAAATTTTTCTGTGTTTTTAAGTCTTTTGCAATTAAAATGTCTTTAAATAATTAAATTAAATGTTTTTAAATTAAAATCTTTGAAATTCTAATTACTGTAAAACTATAATACCTAATATTTAAATATAAAAAATTATTACTTAAAATAATTAAATTCCATCGAGAAATTTCATTAAAAAATTGAAAATTATTGAAATCTGACGAAGAATTCTATTAATTTTTTTTTAAATAATTGAATTCTTGTGAAAATGTTTATTTTTGAAAAGAATTGAATTCTTGGGAAGAATTTTATTAAAATTTCTTAAATAATTGTATTGCTTCGTAGAATTTTATTTTGTACGAAAATAATTGAATTATTTAGAAGATTTTTACAGTAATTGTATATAGGAAGAATGTTATATTTTACGAAAATAATATTGTATTCTATGATCAATTTTATTATAATTTTTCAAATTTATATAAAGGGAGCGTTCATAAATGATGTCACGCAATTTCATGCAATTTCACATGTAAAAATACATTGTGTCACGTTTAGTAGAGACCCCCCCCCCCATACGCTCAAAAACGTGATATCATTTGTGAACGCTTCCAAAGTATTTTATCAAAATTTTTTAAAATAATTGAATTTCTGTAATCATTACATTTCTATTTAAATTCATTACAAATTGATATTTTCTAAAATTTCAAATCGAAATCTTTGAAGTTCATCTATTTATGAAGACTGTAAACGCAACTCTTTTGAAAACCAATTAATTTTGAAAATTTTAATTAAATAAACTAAAAAAAAATTCAATTTTGGAGAAATTACAAATAATTACAAAAAAATTAAATTATTTTCAAAAAAAGAAATAAAATTTTTCTTATAAAATTCAACTATGTTCAAAATTTGAAAAAAAAATTCTCATAAAATCCCAATTATCTTTATAAATAACAAAATTCTTCTCCAAAATTCAATTATTTTCATAAATGTCAAAAAAATTCTTGTCCTAATTTCAATTATTTTCAAAAATAAAATGCATTTTTCTAATTTCAATGATTTTCAATATATACTATTTTAATAAAATTTCCCAAAAAGAATTCAATTATTTAAAAAAATTTTTAATAAAATTGTATGCAAGCATTTAATTATATTCATAAATAATAGAAATTTCACTGGAATTCAATTGTTTTCATAAATAATACATTGTTTTTAAGGAATTCAATTATTATTTTCATGAAAAATAATTTAAAATTCTAAAAAATAATAATTGAATTAAAATGATGAAAATAATTTTGATGAAGTTAAAGTAACACTATTCATATAATATAAAATAATGATTTTATCTCTCGGTCATCTATAATTATTAGAAAACATGAAGAAATCGATCACTCCGAGTCGAAGACTCGGAGTTATCGATATCTTCATGTTTTATAACAATATACTTTTATAAGTTGTTTAATTTAAAAAAAGGTTTCAATTTAAATTTTTTGAATATCTTAATTCCTGTGGAAAATCCTGTTCCAAAAATAAGATTAAAAATAGGAATTGTGCAAATATTTTTCTTCTTTTTTCTAAAACAAAATAATAATTTTGTTAAAAAAAATTGTGATTCATAAAGAAAAATAATGCAAAATAAATAAATTTTCTATTTTTTAACAATTTTCTAATTTTGTTTAGAAGTAAAGAACAAAGGGTATACATGTACACTTAAAATAAGTGAAATTTTATTTATTGTAAATATATTTTTTACATGGAAGACTTTTGAAACATAAATAAGTGAATTTGCACTTATTCAGATTTTGAGATTGAGAGTAAAGGTTTCCTGTGGTTTAACACGTAGAAAACAATTTTTTTGTTGAAGTTGAAGTACGATGAAGTTGTGCATGTAATAGGACCGTGGTTTGTTTATTTACAAACTTATGCTTTTGAATGTATAAAATCTTTTCTATAGATATATTTTTCGTTTCATAAAATAAAAATTTAATTAATCAACAATAAAAGATTAATTTTCACAACAACTGTTTGGGAAATGAATGCGAAAATATTGAGAAGGGTGATTTCAGTTATGGTGTTGTAGGTATAAATTTGGCCTCATGTATATATCGAAATAAACGGGAGTATCGCTAATACGATAACGATTAACCGCACTGAGTAAACCGGATTGTGTGTCAGGGGCAGGGGTGGGCCAAAATAGAAAATTCAGACCCTTTGACCATTTCTCATTGCAATTTACCCTCCCTCCCTCCCTCCCTCCCTCTTCTCCAACTCTGTGCTCTATCTTCAATGATCCTATAATACTGGTCGCAGGTGGCGCCCGGAAGCTCGCACCATCCACCAGCATTGATATGCTAATGAAATTTGACGCCCTTACTTAGTAGAGCCCCGAATTGTACGTGGTGGTTGTTCGCCTAGCAATTCAATGCATAATTTCTTTTTTCTCGTTTAACCCCGTCGTATAGTGGATATGCATTCCGTGAAACGTGTTTCCTGCGCCCCTCCCGAGAGACTAGAATTTAATTACTCTAATGGCATAATACTGTTGTCAACACTCAAACTCACACTATACTCTATACTCTACTCTTGCGATCATGAAAGTGTACAACAAATTGTGAATTTCAAAAAAGGTTTCAATTTCCTAATTTCAAATTTTCTAAATAGGAAATTTTATTAATATTCAGTAATATATTTTAGTAAATTATTTAATAGAAAAAAACTGATAAAATCAGAATTTTCATACTGCTCAACAAAATTGGAAAACCATAATAGGTATACAAATTCTTGACATCAAATTTTACTTGTTACGCTGACTCCGAATTTCAGGGCAAATTTGAAAAATTCAAAATGGCGGATCCAATATGTCAGCCAAAGAAAAATACTTAATTTTATCTCATTCGCTATACAAAAGTTTACAAAAGTTTTACTTGAAAACAAGCAAAAAATAGTACATATTTGCTTCAAATACTAAAATTATTAGATAAAATACCATTTAATTGAGTCAAATAAAATATTTACTTGACAATAGACAATTAATCAATTTTTTTTATAATGTTCAAAATCCTATTTTTGTCAAAAACTATTTTTTTATTCAAAATTTTGGAGAACCGTAAGGTGTTAAAAATAATTTTTCTGACCATAATACATAGTACCTACTTTTATTAAGTCTGGTTGTAAAAGATTTGAGTAATTTCTTCTTTAAAAGATGTCGTTAAATTATGCGATTTAAAGTCTTTAAAGTTTAGAATATTTAGGAAAAAAGAAAAATGATTGAGAAGGAGCAGTTTAAATGGAGAGCTGGAATTGAGTTTTGATTATATAAAGATAGAGAGACAGGAGTGGAGTTGAACTACTGTGAAGAATTTTGTTCGCGACCCCTTTTAGAAAGAGAGAGAGTGAGTGCCAGCAATAAATACAATTCCATCAAATCACTGCTGGTAATGAAAAGCGTGACTAATAAAATAAGTGGCAGGTCCCAAAGTGATTTGCCAACGAGAGAGACACGAACCCCCCTTATCTGAAAGTTAGGAAATCGCATTTCGTCAACTCCCAGATGTTTGCAGGGCGTGCAGATCGTTGACGATCTTCACCCCTCTTGATCTTCTTATAACTATATGGATTGTCCCTTTAATTTCCATTCTCTTCTCACTTGCTCTTTCTTTTTTTCACCCATTCTTTTCTCTCTCATCTATTTGAATTCTTCCTCTTGACATTTCGCCGCCGCCTCCTCCTCCTCTCCCTTTTTTCGACGAAACAAAATATATTTTTTGTTTTAAATCACAATTTAATTCCCATAATATCGCTTTCTACTTTCTGAGCTTTTTCCAAACTCATTTCCCCATGTAAATATTGTTTGCATTTGAAATGCCTCGTTGAGCCTGCAGGAATGAAAAACGGAATGTCTCCTTGTGCTTGAAATTGATCCTATAAACACGACAGATTTATATATATTTATACTTTTGTCAAGAGGGAAAAAAGAAATTATTTAAGAGAGCTGTGTGATGGATGCTTTTATACAATTTTACGTGTCTTGTGATTTTTTTATGATAGAAAAATTGTTTTAGAATATTCTCTTGTAAATAAATTTCTCTTAACAATTTCAGAGATTTAAGCTTTTATTTTTATTGATTTATAAGCATAATTATCACTAAATTAATAATTTAAGAAGAAATCATAATTAATGTTCCTACAATTTTTAGGTTTGAGTGAATGGAGCTTTTTTTATTTTTGAATGAAATTTTGAATTGAATTTAAATTTTAGTAGGAAATATTTGTTCGTTGTTTGTATACCTATACCTTTGTCAACGAACTAAACATTTAAATTCTTCTATTTTTTATTTCAGTATGGTAATTTTTACAAATATTTAAATGGAAGGGAAATTTCGTTTATTTGAACGTTCAAAATTTTAGGCAAAATAAATATTGTGTTAATAATTTAAGAATATGGTTAAATTCTTATTTAATTATTCTTATTTCCTTAGAATTTAAGAATAAGTAATAATTATTATTAAATTAGTAATAGAAAAATATTAATAATTAAAAAATCATTAAATGAATAATTAATTTTAACAAATAAATAAATTTCATAATTTTGCGATAAACTTTTTTAAAAAAATTGACTAATTTTACAGACGTGAAAATTAAAAAAAAACAAAAAAATATAAATGAATATAAATAAAAATTTTCTGCGTTACTAAAAAAGTAATTGTTTTGAAATTCGCAGGTAAAATTTTAATAATCATAAATTAGAGACATTTTTTAATTGCTCAACTTATTTAAAAATAAAAAATTGTTGTATTTTGTCAAAATTTCTCATTTCTCTTTTATCACTTATCGAGTAAATAAAAATTTATTTATTGTAAAAACAACTTTTTCCATCGTACAGTTTTTTTTCAAGAAAAATTGGTTAAAATCGCGAAATATTCAATGTTCGAAAAGTTTAAATTATCAGTGAGGAAAAGTTTGACTTTTTAACTGAAAAAAACGTCAACATCTCGCATTCAATAAATATTTTTTCAAATAACATTGCACGGCATTTGTGTAAACTCTTAAATTTGCCAATATTATTTGAAAAAAAGAGTTTAATTTCTCTAGTTTTAATTAATTAATTAGATTTTTATTAAAAATAGTAATATTGTAAGAAAAATAGTAAAAATTGAAAATGATGAAAATAAAAATTAAAAATATTAATAATGTAGAATAATTAATAGTAATAGTAATTATAATAACTATAATAATTATAAAATAATAACTGCAATAACAACAATTGTGAAAATTGTTATAAAATAATAAAGACTCTAATTATTTTTCTTTCGAAGATAAAATATGAATTATTATCAAAAATATCTTCACAGGAAACGGGAAAGAAATGTATAAAAATATCTCGATTGAAATATTGACTTTTAAGTGAAGCGCTGTTGGATATAAGAAATAATTAAATTTTTAATTTTTTCAAATAGAAGTGTACTTTTAATAAATTTTTCTTTTTTTTTGTGAGTCGGTAGATTTTATTTTCAATTTATTTATTATCAACTAATTTAACTAAATTAATCTAAATTGAAAATAAATTCTAAAAATGCTTGAAATTTTGCACTGAATTTTCCTTTTACTTTTTGATGATTACTTTATCATTAAACATATTGCGTGTCTTAACGTCAAATTCAATATTTTGACGGTCTCATCACATGAGAAATTATTATTTTTATTATTATTATTATTATTACATCTGAAATAATAAACGTCTGTATTCAATTTTTAAGATAATTTTCTCTAGAATCGCTGCAACTTATCGATGTAAAAAATTTTATGTAATTTTTTCCTGTAAAATTTTTTTTCGCTCTTATCTAGAAAATATTTTTTTTATTTCGCTTTTGCTACATTTTGCCTTGAAAACAGATTTTCTTATTATTTATTATTATTATTTTGCATAGTATTATTATTATTTATTATTATTATTTTGTATATTATTATTATTTTCTTATTATAAATTTTAAGAAAGTAGAAAATATAAAAAAATAATTTTTTAATTAAATTATTAACAATAAAAAAATAATAATAATACAAATAATTTGCATAATAATTACAAATTGCGTTTTATTGATAGTTCAGCTCATTGGTTAAGGTCCTCGATTTACATTTGCCGAACTCGGGTTCGATTCCGCGACCAAAAAATTTCTCAAATTGCTTTTTTTAATTAATTATCGAAAAAAAATTTTTTTTTTTCAGATTCGGGGGAAAGTACAGTAATTTCTCCGGGTCTTCCGGAACGTTACAGTCCTTTGGGTGCAACGGGATCAGTGTCGAGTCAAGATCCTTATGTATCCCGATCAGTGCAAGAATGTCCTGTACCATTGTGTCGAGGGATGCCGAGTAATTTTTCCGTTGCACCATCTCCCTACTTGACTGCACTTGAAAATGGACATCCTCATATTCTTGGGCAAGTTCAACAGCATCAGCAACAACAGCAGCAACAACAACAACAACAGCAACAACACTCACAACATGGTACAAAATCACCGAGAAGTCTTGGATTAGTTTGCGTTGTTTGCGGTGATACGAGTTCTGGAAAACATTACGGAATTCTCGCCTGTAACGGTTGCAGTGGTTTCTTCAAGAGAAGCGTGCGAAGAAAATTAATTTACCGGTAAGTCAATCTTTTGTGGTATTCAAAACTGTTTTTTTTTCTTAAATTTTCTGATTTATATTTATCAAATAAATATGTTTAATTGTTAAAAATAATTTTTGAGTCGAATAATTTTTAAGTCAAATCATTTTTAATTAAAATGAAATGATATTTTCTTCAAATAATACGAGAATTTTTTGTTCAAATTTAATTTATATTCAATTTAAAAAAAATTATTTGTCTCAAATAAGTTGAAATTAAAAATTTTCCAAATTTTTAATTAAAATGATTAAAAAAACATTATTTTCAAAAAATTTAAGTCAAAAGAATTTAATAATTCATAAAAACTCTAATAAAAATTTTTGAAGCCATGTTCGAAATGAAATAAATTTAAATTTGATGAGAAAAAAAAACCGGGAAAAATTAGAACAAAGGGAATTTTGTTGAACGAAAATAGTAGACACCCCGTGAATTACTATATAAAAGCAATATAACGTTGAAAAGATAATTATTTAGAAACGAAATCAAAACTCGAGTAAATATTTAGGTATAGATGTAAATCGCGATGTAAATCAGGTCAAAAGTGTCCACTGGGGAATATATTCCTAGTTGATAAATATATATATATATATATATAAATATAGAGAGTTCAGAGGCGATCGAAATGAAGCATGAGCAGACACAGACACCGATCCCAGTTAAGAGGGATTCGATGGAGATGGATGGACCATTCGATCCCCAGAGAGACGGTAATAGTTTCTCTATGCGGTGGCCCCATACAATATTATTCACGTGTACTTGTTGTTGTGTGCGCACCATGTGTATACTTTTCATACGACTTTGAACACGGATCAGTGTCGCTAGTCGCTATAGTTTGTGGTATTATTCGATCCTTGCGAGTTGCATTGTTGTATGAATTACGATGAGCCTACTCGACTTGGAAACACATGGCATCATCCGGGGATATATGGATCACCATGTGATCAACAAACTCCGCACAAATTCTCAATCAAATCTCGTATAACTATAATATTCGATACACTACAAAGTGGGCGTAAACTCGATCCAAATGTTATTCTCTCTCCTACTTCGACTCTTTGTTTCTCTTCGATCATCATTTGAAAAATCGAATTTATTTTCTAAAACTTTAATTGCTGAAAATGAATTCGATAAAATAAAAGTTTAATTAATTAATTTTACCAATTAATTTAAATTTAATGAATTTAATTTATATTTTAATTTATATAATTTACTAATTAATTTTACTAACAATAAAAGTTTCTACTATAATTTGAATTATAATTTAAATTATACAACGATAAACTAACAAAATACCACTTTTCAAAATAAAATGCAACTTATTTTGATTTTTTTATTATTAAAAAAAAAAGAAAAAGGAAGTAAATTTCAACTTTTGTTAAGACTGTCGCGTCGGTCAGTTTCTTCCTAAACTTTGCTTGTTAGAGTAAAAAAATATTTATATAAATATAGATAAAAGAGAAATTAAAAGGGATTGTATCGAATGACAAATAGGATAAAACTTTTCCTTTTTCCCTCCCATATAGTATAAAAGCACCTGCGCTCACGCGGCTTTCGGGAAAAATAAAAAAAAAAGGAAAGAGGAGAAAAAAAAATTGTTCGACGTTCGAAATTCGCTGTAACGATTCCAGAGAGTGGCACACAGCTTTTTCCTGTGCTTTACGATCCATTCCTGTCAGATGGCTGTAATACGGTAAAGACTGAAGAGCCTTCGCACAGATAACCAATTACCCGAGGGGTGAGGGTCGTTGGCTCGTCACAACGTCGAGGCGACAGATGCGTCCCGACGCGCCGCGTCGCGAAACATTTTGCCCGCAATCGCCGGATTACGATTCAAAGTCTAACCACAATGTTTCTCATTTTGAGCCCACTTACAATAGTCCAATGGCTCCTTTTATAATATCCACTCTATCAATTTCCAACTAAAATCAATTAAATCCTATAATATTAGCAATTCCCCCTCTGTGCCATGTCGTTCGAATTAATAAATTCGTTATTCGACAATATTAGATATTTCATTAATTTACTATTAACTAGCAACAATTAGCTCACTTTTTTTAAAATTAAATTAGCAATTTTAAAAATAATAGAACTTAAAAATTTTTAATTCAAATTTTTTTTATAAGAATAAAATGTGTGAATTGGAATATATAGTCTTTTAATATTATTATAATTATATTCTGACATAGGGAATTCAGGGACAAGTCAGGGATTTTTATTAAAAGTTCTGAAATAAATTATTTAATGAATAATTTTACTTAAATATTTCAAAATTAATTCAATTTTAAAAGAGTTGCATTTACAATATTCTTAAATAAATGAACTTCAAACGGTTTCAGTTTAAAAATTTTATAAAATTTCAATATTAAACGAATTTAATTAGAAATTTTAATAATCAAATCTTCTAAAATTAGTTAAATTTGTCAATATATATTTAATTAATTTTATTAAAAATAATGGATTTATAGAAGAAATTTAGTCAAAAACACTAAAAAATTTAATTTTAAAGAAGTTACAAATGATTGCAGAAATTCAATTATTTTCAAAAGTAATAAAATTCTTATCACAAAATTCAATTATGTTCAAAATTTACAAAAAAAAATCTCGACAAAATCAGAATTATTATTTTCGTAAATAAAAAAATTCTTTTTCAAAATTCAACTAGTTTTAAAAATTTTGATAAAATTCTTGTCAAAATTTCAATTATTTTCAAAAATTTCCCTCATTTCAATCATTTTCAATATCTACTATTTTTAAAAAATTATCGAATAAAGAACTCAATTATTTAAAAACAATTTTAATAAAATTGTACGCAAACATTTTATTATTTTCATAAATAATAAAAATTTCACAGGAATTCAAATATTTACAAATTTTTTATAAGTTTCTCCTCAATAATTCAATTATTTTCAGAAATAATGAAACGCATCGGAGAATTTCAATTATTTTTAATACAATTTTAATCAAATTTCTTAAAAAATGTAACTATTCTAAAATTTTTTATTAAAATTCGTCAAAAGAATTCAATTATTTTAAAATTTGTTAATAAAATTCTTTATAAGAATTAAATTTTAAGAATGAATTAATTTAAATTATTTGGATTATAGAATTTTAAAAAAAATTACAGCAATTTTTTTATATCAAAGTGTTTTGAATTTTAAAATTAATGTTTCAAAAATCAGTGAATTGAATTCCTTTGAATTTATGAAAATTTTTGAAAATAATTGAATTTCTGCGAAGAATTTTACTGCGTTTATAAAAATAATTGAATTCTTGGTAAGAATTCTATTCAAATTTTTGAAAATAATTGAATTGTTTGTTGAATAATTTAAGTATTTGAAATTTTTATAATTATAATTTTATTATTAAATTTTATTAAAACTATTGGTAAAAAATTAAATTTTTTAAATAATTTTAGTAGGTTTTTCGTAAATAATTAAATTTTTTGGAAGATATTTTTTTTAAATTTCTTGAAAATAATGTAGTTTTTTTAAAATAATTTTAATTCAAATTATCAAAACTTTTGAGAACAATATTGAATTCTTAAAAATAATTGAATCTTTTCGAAGAAATATATCGAAATTTTTGAAAATAATTGAATTGTTTATTGAATAATTTAAAATTATTGAAATTTCTTGAAAATAATGTAGTTTTTTAAAAAATAATTTTAATTGATCAAAACTTTTGAGAGTAATTGAATTTTTAAAAATAATTGAATTCGTTGAAGAAATTTTATTAAAATTGACTAATATTATAAATTGTATAATAATAGAATTTTTCAGTAGAATTTTATTATTTATAAAAATGATTGAATCGTTTCGAAGAATTTTATCGAAACTTTAGGAAATAATTGAATTTCTTTGGAAAAATTTTATTAAGAATTTAAAAAAATAATTTAATTCTTAGGAAAAAATTTTTTTAATAATGTTTGAAAATAATTGACAAGAATGATTAATTATGTACTTACTTAATAAGTAAAATAAGTGAATTTAAAAATTTTTGAATCTGAAATTATTTGAAAATATAAATTTCTTTAATAATTGTCAAAATAATAATAAATTGAATACCGTGTTTCGCGCGTAACATTAACAAATTATTTATATAATTATTTAAAGATCTTATTCTTAATAAAAATATTACACAATATTGGTATTTAAATCGATAAAATAAGTTTGATAAAAAAATTTATTTCATTTATTGTAACAAATAAATTTCCATTGAATTTGACTGTGAGGCAAACGAACCTTTTTTAGTTAATTAATATTTAAACGTTAAAGACGTTAAAGACTTACTATAATATTTATTAATTTTTAATATCAAATAACAATAGTTAATACTTAATTTGAATAAAAAAATTGAGAATATAATTTATCTTTTGTCTGAAGAAAATTGTTCTCAACGAAGACTTTTTTTTCTGCCAAATATATAGACGTATTTATACAATGCACGTTTAATATTATGTAATTTTGCTGTTATTTTGCCTTAATAGATAAATAAAGGGAAAAATTGAAGGGTGAGATTTATGATTTATTGTGACGCCATTAAACAATTAGGAATGGCATATAGAAATTTTTGATAGCCAGAAACACATGTTTCGGGTTATACCGAGCGTAACTCGATAAACCAAACAATACTGGTCTCGCAGGAAGAATAGAGAGATGCGTAAATAAATGTATGATGTGGTTCTGAAGGGTGAATAGAAGAGACAGGGGTCCAAGATCTGCAGACTCCGCTGGGGTGTGAACGCAAATCAATTTGCTGCGACCCCTGCCGATAGGCACGGAACTACCCTTCGCATTTCGTCAACGTTCACTGCCCCGGGACAAGATACTCCTCCTCGTTACAAAAAGAGTCACTCTTTTATTTTTTATCTCACTTTGCGTCTTCAAATTCTTATTTTTTTACTTTATATCGCGTTATTAGGAATTTTTCTTTCATTATTATCGTTTCTAAATTTATAAACTATTTAACTGCAAATCAAG